TCTGCACAACAAACACCAAACATCATCAATTGCATGGTACACATGGACAACTGCGCACCCGGATCACCACCCACCTACGCGCCAGACGAAGAAGAGCTGCCGCCACCGCACTCACAAGGCCTTCAAGTCAATCCAACATATGCTGCGGTCGCCAATGCCGAACCCACCGGGCGAAACACCTGGTTCTTGGACAGCTGCTGCGGTCAACACATGTGCTCCTCGGGACGCTTCGTGCAACAGGAGAAACGCCTCAACCGCGACGTCGTCATCACCGTCGCCAACAACGAAAACCTGAAGACAAACAGACAAGGCGTGGTTCAGTTACAATCCATGGAGACAAACGTAATACTTCAGCTCAACAAAGTACTCATCGTCGACAACTTGGGATACAACCTACTAAGCGTAAGCCAACTAATGGCCAAGGGGATTCACCTGGAGTGCGACTCCTTCTCCAACGAGTTCCGGCTTTACCACGGGAAGGGCGGCCTCTTCATAGGTCGTGCCCTCCTGAAGTCCGGTGTCTTCGTGTTGGACTTTGTCCCCGACCGCGGTACTGCCGACAGCGACGGTATCGTATCGTTCGCCGCCTGGACACACCCGCCGGATCTTGATCCGGACTTCGACAGTGACTGCTTCTGGCACTCCAACACCATACCTGCAGCAGAAAGAACACGAGCATTAGCAGTTATCAGACAAGAACGGCAAGTACCAACAAGCGTCCAGTCCCAACCATCACCTGCAGTAGCAGCAGCAGGACCAAGCCGAGTACCACCACCGGCAGTCCGAGGACCGCCAACCGAAGCAGATCAACTTATGCCCATCACGCGAGAAGTCTGTCGAAGTCCCGCCACAGTCGTCGCATTCTTCTCCAACGCCGACATATACCACCGCTCACCCGGACATCGCGCTCCCGACGACATCTGGCACCAACGCCTCGGGCACCCTGCAAATAGTACAATACTACAAACCATCCAAGCCGAAGTGTTAGAACGCAACGCCCTCCTAACAACGAACGGCCAAGAACTTCGACGACCTCGCGTACGGTGCTTCACGTGCCCCGAAGCATATCTTCCTCATCAACCCTTCCCATCACATCATAATCCAAGCGCGCCTGCATATGCAACGATGGAAAAAGTCTACAGCGACATCTTGAACATGCCTCGAGACGACACGGAAGCCGACTTCAACTACGTCATCACCTTCGTCGATGCAGCAACAAGATACACTTGGCATTACAACCTCAAGACGCGCGATCAAGCCTTCGACGCCTTCACAACATGGCTCCCCATCGCCGAACGGGAATCAGGAACCAAGCTAAAAAGTTTCCAGTCAGACGGCGCACTGGAATACCAGTCACAACGCTTCAGGACCTATCTGGCGGAAAGAGGAATCAGGCGCCTGGTGTCCCTACCATACGCTCACCAGCAGCAGGGGGTCGCAGAACGCATGAACCGGACCTTGCAGATGACAATGCGAAAGCTGCTCCTGGGAATGAAACTACCCAACACACTGTGGCCAAACGCGATGACACATGCAGTCCACCTGCACAACCTGTTGTCCTCGTCATCGCTCCCCAACAACGCATCACCACACCTGCTGTGGACGGGAAAAAGGGGCAGCACAAAATTACTTCGAGTTTTCGGCTGTATGGTACAATACAGACCCCACACAGCTCGAGCAGGACGCTTCACTCAACGAGCTCGGTGGGGACTACACCTCGGCATCGCCAAACATTTTCACGCGTGGAAGATTCTCGACATACAAGACAAAAATACGGTGGCATCACGTGATGTTATCTTCTACGAGCGACTGACGCTGCAGCATTACCTGGACAACATTGCCAACTCAGACGACCCCACCGACGGCTTCGCGGGCCTTCGCTCCTTCGCTGACCATGCTGCCGAGGCTGACGCAGCAGAAGAAGACGTCCCTGGAGCCTCGGAGGCTGCCGGACCACTCCCCTACTGCTCCGTACCTGTTCCACTCGATGAAGATAATCCCCTCGATAGCAACAACCTCGACACCTTTTACCACTTCGCTGACCAAGGCTACGCTACACCACACCCCGTCGACTCGAATATTTCCGAACGCATCGGGCCAAACTTCTTACCCGATCCTGAAGACGGTGATGAAGCAGCTTATCCCGGGAATGAAAATTCCCCTCGACACACAGCCACGGGACTGCAGATCCTAGGACTATGGGTCTCCGTCCAGCACCCGCCGCCGCCTTCTCCGCGCGAGCCATCGACCCTGTCGCAGGCTCTGGGGGGGGAACATAAGGCGGAATGGAAGGAAGCAATGGAAAAAGAGTTAAAAGCCCTCCAAGACCGGAATACATGGAAGTTAGTACCGACAACCAACACCAACGGGAGGAACATTCTCTCGGGGAAATGGGTGTACCGCATTAAGACCAACGCGGACGGCTCCATCGAACGTTTTAAAGCGCGATGGGTCGTACGAGGCTTCGACCAACGATACGGAACCGACTACACAGAAACCTTCGCCCCAGTCTCCCGTCACACCTCCCTGCGCATCCTACTCGCCGTCGCGGCCACGAAGAAACTACCACTACGGCAAATCGACGTCGCAAACGCCTTCTTGTACGCACCTGTGGACGCCGAAATCTTCGTCGAACAACCCCACGGATTCATCGACGACCCTTCAAAAGTATGCCAGCTGGAAAAATCCCTTTACGGGATCAAGCAAGCCCCACGGCTCTGGCAGCAGCACCTTCACGGCCGGCTCGTAAAAATCGGATTCCTACAGTTACCACATGACCAAGGCATGTACCGACTGCAGAAGGGAAGAGATTACATTCTGCTCATAGTCTACGTCGACGACCTGCTCTACATCGGTTCTACCACCGACATCGTCACCTGGTTCGAAGGGGAGCTGAAAGGGGACCTGACGCTTACGGTGTCCGACTCAGTGACCCAGTACTTGGGACTAAATGTCGTCGAAGACAACTCGGCGTTCTACCTACACGCTGGAAAGTACGCAGGCACTATCGCGAAGAAATTCGGACTGACGCCGACTACGATCCCGACCCCCTACCGCTACGGAAATAACAACAGCGCCTCCGCAAAACTCCCCGCGAAGCAAATCCAGGAGTATCAACAGAAGCTCGGCTGCCTACTATTCGCAGCAGTAACCTGCCGACCCGACCTGTCCTACAGTGCAAGTCAACTGGCGACACATCTGAAGCAACCGGAACAGGAAGATCTCGAGGAGCTCAACCGGGCACTACTCTACTTCGTCTCCACGCCGACGATCGGGCTTACCTACAGCAAAGCAACAACACCGTCCGTACGACTACTCGGATACGTCGACGCCGACCACGCGGGAGATAAGGAAAATCGACGATCCAGGACGGGCTACATCTACCGACTAGAGCCCATCGGAACTATCTCCTGGCAGTCGAGCAAGCAGGAGTTAATCGCACTATCCTCGGCTGAAGCAGAGTATATCGCCCTTTGTATTGCGACCAAGGAAGGACTCTACCTACGGGAGTTACTCGAGGAAGCGAAGATCGCGACCCTACCCGCCTTCTCACTCCTCTGCGACAACCAATCCGCGATCAAAATCGCGAACAAGGATGGCTTCGCCAACCGAACCAAGCACATCGCCCTACGGTACTTCTTCGTCAATGATGAAATCGCGAAGGGGAGACTTCAACTCAGTTACTGCCCGACGACAGAAATGGCCGCAGACTATTTGACGAAGAAATTGGCGAAGACAAAATTCGACCACTGCATGCTGCTGACCGGACAGACAAACGTCACCAGATCCGAACATAACAGCACTCCAGAAACGAAGGGGAGTGTTGGAAATATCTCAAAGAACTTAAGCGTTTCTGAAGTGTAACACTACACTCGAGGAAGACTACAAGGGAGCACGCGAGTCAACGGAGGTTACACGAGGGGGCGGACAAAGAATGCGAAAGGTCGCAACTGGAGGTTGCGACTGACCATTACAGCATCATGGATGGTAACCGAAGTAGCAATCGAGTCGCTGTGCGACTCGATAAACCGTTCCTGTAACTGTACTCTACAACTGCTTTCTTATCTTCTATATATTGCTGTATGCTTGTTTCCTTAATCAATCACTTGTTCTCACATACTAGTACAAGGGTTCAACTGCCTCAACTTCCGCTGCACTACCCCAAGTCTCAAGTCTTCACAGCTGGGACTTAGTCTCTGGAAAGATCCCAAGGGCTTTTCTCAGCCCAACAGTCCCAAGCCCACACACACCCACACCCCCTAACCTAGCCCTCCCATGCCCAACAGCAGGCGCGATGACTCCGGAATGGGTCAACTCCCACGGCCCGTGAGATGGCAATGGCGGCAGCAGCGGCAGTGACGAGAGCGGCGGTGGCGTGCGGCGGCAACAGGCCAGCGGCAACAGCGGCGACGGTGGCTTCAACGTCAGAGGCGACTGCAGCGCCCCCCGCCCTCTCGGCGGCATGGCCAATCTCCTTGGCGAGGGGGAAGGGAGGGGAGGGGGGGGGCGAATTTTCAGCGAGGCACCATCGCTGGTGCAACGCTTAGTGGCGTGAGGGCGTTACGACTGGCGCCTAGGACATGGCGCTGGCCGCAGCTGTCCGTGCACTGGCGTGGCGAAGCCGCCACGGCAGCACGACGGCACGGCGGCACGGCGACCCAGCGGCACGGCGGCGCGGAGGGACGGGGCCAGCACGGCGTGACGGGGCCGGTGCGGCTTGAGGGGGCCGGCACGGCGTGACAGGGCCAGCGCGGGGTGACGGGGCCAGCGCGGCGTGACGGGGCCAGCGCGGAGGGACGGGGCCAGCGCGGAGTGACGGGGCCGGCGCGGCGTGACGGGGCCAGCGCGGCGTGACTGGGGGGGGGGGCACGCTACGGAAGCGTGAGGTGAGGAGAAGACCCGAGCGAAAGGGGCCTGCTCTGAAACCATGTTGAACTAAGCTAGGATCTAGATAGGAGGGAAGCCATAGAAACGGCGCGAGGGTTTAGCTAGGAGAAAGCTGACGAGAGAAAAGAGATAGAGAGGGATACAAGGAGGGGATTGTACCCTCTACAGTAGAGTTCGATAACCTACCAAGCCTACACAAGTATATATATATATATATATAATTTGACAATGTACCCTTATATAGCTGTAGAGCAGCGATAATCTTCTGGTCATGCAATGATTGGCAGTGGGCATGATTGGGTGACGCCAAGTGGACATGTGCTCAAGTGAAGCAAGACAACATCCATCAGATCCTGGGCATGGCACTGCAAGTGATCTCAGCAACCACACCCGCAGGCCAGCACTGCATGAGTGGTGCATGGGTTGATAATAGGGAACGAACGTGCAGGTCACGGGGGGGAGGGGCTGCACAAGAGGGCGTCAAACTGCAGTGGTCGTGTCTTGGGGTCACGTGGTGGCCGCCTCACGCGACCGCCAGCACTGAACCCACCCCCTGGCGACTTCCCTCCCCCGCCTATATCCCACCCTCTCTGCTGCAACTGCTGCATCGCAATCCCCCCCTCGTCGCCCGCCTGAAAGGCGTTTCTCGCCATGGCTTCGCCCACACGGCGCGGTGATGCCCGTCCCCCCCATGCAGCCGTGCACGACGCCGGCAGCCCCGTAGCGCCACTGCCGCTGCTGCCCCCTCTGTCAGGAGTGGCGGCGCCGGGTGCGGGGTGCACGGCGCCCGTCCACGCCCAGGTGTCCAGCGCCTCCTTCATCTCCGCCGCCAGCGCGTCGCGCTCCTCCTGCGCCACGCGCAGTGCCTCCCGCGCCCCCCGCAACTCCTCCTCGCTCGCCCTCAAACGCTCTGCGCACGGCACGCAGTGGCGGGACACACGCATGGCACACGAGACGGGAGACACAAGTCGACGTGGTGCAGGAAGGGGGAAAAGCAACGAATGAAGAGCGAAGCCAAGGGGAGGGGCGGAGTGTATAGGGAGGAGACAACCGCACGCACACACAGGCGCGTGCATACCCACACGAACAGACACACACGCGAACCCACACACAGACACACTCCCGCCCTCTCCCCTCCCCCCCTCCCCCCCCCCCGGCACGCATGTCATACCGGATAGATCGTCGTTTTTGGCCTCGGCGCGTCGCACGGCGTCGTCGGCGAGCGCGAGGCGGCGTGAGAAGTCGCCCACCATCTTCAGCATGCCCGCCATCTCCGCGTCCGCCGCCCGCGCGCCCGCTGACTCCCCTGAATCGCGCGCACTCGACACGTGCAGCGCGCGCAGCCCCTGGATTTCCTTTTCGAGCGCGGCCTTGTCGGCCTGCAGCTCGTGCATCTGCCCCTCCAGCGCGCTCACCTGCCCCCACACCGCCTCCACCTCCCGGCCCGCCGCCGCCTTGGCCTTGCCCGCCGCCTTCAGTTCCCTGTCCTTGCGCTTCAGCTCCGCCTTCACCGCGCACACCTGCGCCTCCAGCTCGCGCCTATCCTGCGCCCACGACGCCAGCACCGAATCAGCCCCCGCCCCCCCCTCCCGCTCTCCGCCCGCCTCCGGCGCGCTGCTGATGCCGGTGGGCGTGATGTCGAGCCCGCGGTAGGTCCAGCTGAGGTGGGTGGGGAAGGCGGCGCCGTCGTCATTCACGATGTCGATGACGCCGCTGCGCTCGATGCGCTCCGCCTCCATACCCAGGTACGCCAGCTCCTCCTGCTCCGCGCGCAGCTGCGCCTTCATCGCGCACCCGCTCACCGACTTGCCGCTGCCCGCGAAACCCCCCATGGATCCCGCTAACGCGAACCCGCCCCGCGAGTTGGCCCCCATCACGTTCGCCTCTGACGCGCTCTTGTGCATTCGCTGGCCACGCCGCTCCGACACCTCCGGTCCGCCCGACGACTGCTCCGCGCCGGCCGCGTCGTCCATTCCCCCCACCAGCAGGCGCACCGCCAGGCGCCGACCCGCCGTAGCCTTGTGGGGTTCAGAGTCGTGTCGCATGTTGTGCGAACGGGGTTCACTAGTTACAACGTCAGAATAGTCTCACTCTGGTAACGTTAGGCTTGACTTGATCCAATCCCGGGGGGTGGGGGGGTAGCGGGGGAAGGGAAATTGCAACTTCTGCCACAGGGAATTTATAAAACTCGAAACTGGAAATTTAGAGGGTTCCGTGAACCCCACTTACTCTTGAAGTCGCCAATGTTAGGGAAATTCCTAGCAGGTGTCAGGTCCTTTTGACACGAAGTTTTGACGGCTAAGATGTTTAAACATCAGCAAAGGTACTGACTTATGCTGATCCCGGCTGTCGAGTCTTTGACCGGATGCGGGCTGACCCTTGCTAGGAATCATCCCTTAGGGGTGTTTTGGGGTCATGTGGCAACCAGTTGGGGCGTCCATGCCCTGCGGGTAGTCAGTGGACAGCTGCAGCAACAAATGCAGCCCCCTGGTGCGTGAAGGTCAAGCTGCTGCACCAATCTACAGTGTAGTCTGTGACTTGCTGAATAACCTCGCAGTTTCGAGGTGTAATAGCCAAGGAAGGCTCTGAAGGACCAGGTCTGGGTGACAATTGAACCTGATGTGGAACCTCTGGCTCATTTGTAGGATTGAGGGGGTGTAGAACGATTTGTAGGACCGTGATCAAAACAACTGGGATCGCTGCCAGCCTGGCCCCCGAAATGATCCCCCCCATTTTGCGCACATGTTCCAAATATGCAGGCCTGACGCGCTGGGTCGTTTGGCAATCTCGACAGTGCCAAATTGTCGCCCAGACCAATCGCGAAACCTTGTTACTTGAAAAACATACTTCGTCACAACTCAATCTTGACATCAATGCGGTTGTTGACTGGGCGGTATGCGGACAGCTGGCGCGTCTCGGTTTCTTTCGTGCACATCAATTCGCGAATAGCATTTCTTTCGCAAAGCGCGGATCGTATGATAGTTGGGACATGCAGCCATCGTGACAGCTGGGTGGTCATTTCCGAATATCATATATTGAAGGTTGGCCGAAAGTGGCGCGGATTACGTTTTGGAACCTTCTCGCATAATAACGACTGTAACACTAGGGTAACTCTTCTGTTACACTCGAGAATTGCCAAACAATCCTCTAAATAAGCCAGAGGTTCCACATCCTGAATAGGGAAAACCGAACGGGAATGCCAAGTGGTATCGAAGCTAGCAGTTAGAACCTCAAAATTTACTACACCCAGATATTCGATCATGTCACAAGTTTTGAAACGACAGGTGTGATTGTTTTTTGTGCCGAGTGACTGTATCGCTTTATTATCACATTGGCCCAGTTTCGTTCATTCGTCGTTTCCCTGGAACTCGCAGGAGAAACATAATAATCACCCCACCAACTAAATATCGCGCCACTCCGTCTTCATAGCCGACATCATCACGCAATTTTGCCTATACGCCTAATTTTCAGTCGCGTGTTCATTCCAGTAACTTGGGAAGCTCTACTGTAAGCTTGAAACAAATCTATTTTAGGGGCAAGTAGCCGCTTTGTTGAAAGTGCACCCATTCTTCTGGTCTCGGCAAGGGGGTCTCATCCTTAGAGCCCCTTGACCAGTCAGCGAAGCCACCGTCCTCGGCGATTCCCTCAGAAATGAGCTCGCCACGTCACATGAGGTCCAGGCCTATTGGCGGGAAAGATGGTGTCTGGTTCGTCACATGCGTGTTTCTGCGATATGAGTGTTAGCGACGCTGTGGTCGGTTGATTTCGCACGCCACCTCTAGCTATGGGATTGGTTCCCAAAACTAAGTTGAAGTTTAATTGCGTGTTCTTGAATCGAATAACTGGGTGTACAAAAGGTATCTCGAGTGCGATTTTTTTTTTTTTTTTTTTTTTTTTTTTGTCAAGTCCAGGTGCATGCATAACCGTTTGCTGCAAATGGTACAGTTCACAGCTGAAATTCGAACAGTGCTGCAGCATTACTGTCGAAGCGCAAAGGTCCAGCACAATTGTGTAATAGACCCGGATCCTAGCAGAGAGGATTCTAGAGCTCGGGTCTGACAATAGTGTCAGACGGGAACACCCGAGGTGGGAAAAAATTGCCTCAGGTCTTCACGAGCCTGACGGCTGTTTGACTGGAAACTCACGTCCAGCTGACAAACTTAGCGACAAACGAGTGGAATGAAATTCGCTCGCCAATGTACGACTCTCAATGCCGTACAGTCACAACTTATCTTCGTTCTTACTCTCGTTTTTGCACGACCGTCAGAATCACAAACCCCCTGGCTCCTTCGGCCGCGGGTCAGCCTCGGGTCAGACCCGAGGTGCGGAATCCGCTCTAACACACCTGTCCCGCGGAATTTTCAAAACGTGAAACTGGGTGACGGCAACAGTTTGTGTGGCACCCTGACCGCTTTTAGGTCACCGGATAGCAAGCTACCGGACCCTTTATTTAAAGCCCAGGTCCTGAATTGCAAGCCGCGAAAACCACGAAGACTGTGCGAGACCTGGGACAAACTGTGGTTGCAAAAATCACAAGGGGCATATTGTCCATTTCCGCTAGGTGTTATGATTTAGAAAATGTCAATGACTAAATCGTGGGAATACAAGGTCTCTATTGCAATGAAAGCACGAGGTTATATAGGAGTAGACGTAATAGGGCGATAACCTCGGGGCGTGGGTAGGTTCGGCAATGTGGCGACGCTGTCGGACGCGACTCTTGAAAGGGTTGGGCCGAAAATGTAGGCCGAGCGTGACGAGTCGAAGTGTTCGGGTGTACACGGTAGCGGGCAACTCAGTAAGGAATGGAAATTCCTTACACAACCCCCCCCCTCCTAAACGAGTCCGTGGGCATCGGAGACGTTACGACGCCGATAATACGCCGTTAGAATCGGATGTGATTCTAGGTCAACGAGAGGCACCCAACTGTCCTCTTCGGACGTGCGATCGCGCCAGCGGACGAGGAAATCTACCATCCGACGGTTCAGCTGCGTTGTGACGCGATGGCCGAGGATTTTCAGGGGCTCGGTCGTCGGTTCCTGCAAAAGCGTTAGGTGCGGTACATCGCGGTTGCGTGCCAGGTCCGACGAACTCGGGACGTAGGGTCGGAGAAGACTGACGTGGAAAGCCGGGTGGTGGCGCCAATCAGCCGGTAGTCGAAGGTGAACAGTGACAGGTGTCACTAGGTTGGTCACGTGAAAAGGTCCGCAGAATCTGGGTCGGAGTTTGCTCGGGATCGGCAGCCGCAGATTGCGGGTGTCGAGGAGGACTAGATCTCCCACTTTGTAAGTGACATCACGGCGATGACGATCGGCTTGTTGGCTTGCAACCAGGTTGGCTTTTCGGATGGCTTCAGCTGCTTTTTCTCGAGCGGCGAGAATGTCTTCAGCAAATTTCCGGGACCGGGGAACGGGTGACTCGATTCTCGGGGTAGAGGGTACGACTGGGTCCTGTCCGTAGTTGAGGAAGAATGGAGATTGGTTGGTTGTGGCGGAGGTCGCGTTATTATACGCGAATTCTAACAGCGGAAGGGATTTCTCCCATGTCGATGGGCCAGTACAGGCTGTACGAATCAGTTGCTCCATGGTCTGGTTGACGCGTTCGGTCTGCCCATCGGTCTGTGGGTGGTAGGCGGATGAAAATTGGAGTTTGGTGCCGAATTGGTCCCACAGGTGGCGCCAGAAATTCGATGTGAATTTCGGGTCTCGGTCGAAAATGATGGTGGAGAGCAGTCCATGCAGTCGGATGACATTCGTGAAGAACAGTTGCGCGGTCTGTTCGGCTGTGATTGTCTGTTGGCAGGCGATGAAGTGCGCCATTTTCGTGAGTCGGTCAAGGATCACGAGGATGGCGTCGTTTCCGCTGGGACCGGCCGGTAGTCCTGTTACGTAGTCCATCGTGACTTGTTGCCAGGGTCGCTCGGGCGGATCCAACGGCTGTAGTAGTCCGGCTGCTCGCTGATGCGACGATTTCATGATCTGGCAGGCAGTGCAGGAGGACACGTACTTGCGCACGTCATCGGCCATGTTCAGCCAGTAGTAATTCCGCTGCAACATCTTCATGGTTTTATCGACGCCGAAATGTCCTGAGGTAGGGTTGTCGTGGGATTCCCGGATTAGGAGGGTACGAAGTAAATCGTAGCCTGGCACCCAAATGCGAGAAGTACCACGCTTATGAAAATATGGCCCGGTGGCTGTGGTATGCTGTTGATGGATGGCGGAGCGGAAAAAGGGATCGATCTTGTAGCCGTGGGTGAATAGTCCCGTAAGTAATGGGTTGGTCTGGGCGATTAGTATCGCGGCGGTATGGACAGTAGGGCGGGTCAAGGCATCGGCGATATTATAGGCACCCCGTTTGTAGGTGATGGTGTAGTGGAAGTTGGACTCGAGGAAATCGGGCCATCGGATCTGTCGTGGGTTGAGATTCGGTTGGGCGCGCAGGTACTGTAAGGATTTGTGGTCCGTCCGCACCGTGACATCAGCTCCAGTCAGGTAGCACCGCCAGGTCTTGAACGCGTAGACTATTGCCAGCATTTCCTTGTCGAGGACTGTATAGTTTTTTTCTGCGCCCTGTAGCTTCCGTGATTCGTAGGCGACTGGTTGTAACCCGTTGCCGAAGTCCTGGAGGAGAACTGCACCGATGGCGATGTCGCTGGCGTCGGTGATGACTTCGTATGGACGGTCGGGATCGGAGATGCGAAGTACAGGCGGCGACGTGAGGGCGATTTTGAGTTGGTCGAATGCAGCTTGCTGCTTCTCTCCCCACCAAAAACAGTCGTGATCCTTCAGTCGGTCAGTTAGAGGAGCAGATAACCCCGCCATATTGGGGATGAAACGGCGGACGTAGTTGACGAAACCTATAAAGCTTTGTAGTTCCTTGAGGTTGGTCGGCGGCTTCCAGTCCTGTATAGTCTTGATTTTCTTGGGGTCGATTTTCACTCCTTTGGTAGAGACGACGTGTCCCAAAAACTCCAACTCTTGCTTAAGAAAATCGCACTTAGACCCTTTCGTGATGAGGCGATTCTTGTGCAGCAGCGTGAAGACTGCCTCAAGATCCTTTAAGTGCTGCTCCCTACTGCGGCTGTAGATTAGGATGTCGTCGAGGTAGATAATTACGCATTTATCCAGGAGTTTGCGGAAAACACCGTTCATGGTCATCTGAAAAGTAGAGGGCGCGTTCGTGAGTCCAAAAGGCATCACCAAGTATTCGTAACTGCCGTAGCGGGTTCGGAAGGCGGTCTTGTGGCAATCCTCGGCGGCGACGCGAATTTG